ATTTTTTTCTAGTAGCTTTACAGTTATAGCTCTTGCATTTAGGTCATCAATTCATTTTGAGTTAATTTTTGTGTATAATGAGAGATAAGGATCTAGTTTTATTATTTTTCATGTGAATATCTGCTTAGTACCTATGTTAAAGATCAGTTGGCTGTAAACCTTTGTGCTTACTGTGTGCCACTGATCTCTCTGTTTTAAATTGTATTCTCTTCTACACCAATGATTTTAAAATTCACAACTTAAACATACTCTAAAAGTGAATGAAAAATAACAGATACAAATAAAATTAGTGCTCAAAAACATATTATTTTTGTGGGACTTTTCCTTAAATTCAACTAGTTAGAATTATTTGTTAAATGTTTTCCCATTCAAACCTTTAAATGGAGAATTTGCCTTTTAAATAGAACTCTTCGTTTCAAGAGAACATGATGTCCTTGCTTCCATTCTTCTCTCACACAATTAGCTTTTTAGTGCAGCCTTTGGTTAATAAGCAGGGAGATACACAGAGCAAGTTTACTTCATGTGGAGGCACAAAGGTACAGGTAGATGAGTGAAAAAGCAGTATACACACTCAGTAGGAAGATAATTATATGATGAGAATTATGCAATATTTTATGTGATGCATCCTGTAGATACATCTATCCTGTTAATCTTATGAAATATGTACTTATCTCCTTTCTCAGACAAGGAAATTAACTTCGAAAAAGTTAAGTAACTTACTATAAATTGCATTGTTGGTATTATGGCTTGTGTCTAGAGGTCCCCCCAAAGCTTCATGTAGTCATAAGTGAATATTTTCAGAGTTGACTGCATCTAGAGTGTGTGATGCTGGGATCAGGTGTGTGTTTCCTAAATCATTTGCTGATTGGTTTGTCATAGTTCTAGGTGTGGATCATAGGAAGGCCCTCTCTGAATGCTACCAGCCTTAAGGGAAGGGAGCCTGTAAGCAGGACAAGGGACAGAGAGAGGGCTGCTGCTGTTTGCTGTTTGCTGCTGGCTGCCTTCTGCCTGCTGTGGACTGTTTCTGCTTGCCTTGCCACCTTGTCTTGGAGTCAGCTAACTATGGACTGAAATTTCTACAAATAGTGAGTCAAAAATAAACCTTTCCTTCTTTAACTTTGCCCGTCAGGTATTTTGTCTCAGCAACTGGAAAAGTAACTAAGACGGCTAGTTAATGGTCAAACTTTGACATTACTTTCTGAGAGAGATTTCAAAGACATTTAAAAGGGAGACATTGATCCTATCCTGAAACGGTCATCATATTCTACCACAGATCGCAGACAATTGATTTTTTAAGGCAGTGCTTTTACTATCTCTTTCTGACTGTCTCTCTTGCCTGTTCAGAGATGGGCTAATGCAGATACTGTGTTAAGAATGGCAACAACAGCAGCAGTGACAGCATTTTCTTTGAGCACCTTCGTTGGCCAGGTGCTTTCCATTCATTGCTAAAAATCTCTGCAGCAGTTGGCAAGGTTAAGTCATGTCATCTCCAGTTTAAAAATGGAAAATCTGAGTGTAACTTGTTTAGAGCTATGTGGTGGCAGAATTGAGCACACACATAAACTCGGTTTCACTTGAGTGTAAATTACTATCTTATCAATGTAGATTTAAGAATTTTGCAGAATATTCTGTTACTACCACTTAGTTATCAGTGGCTTCTTTAGGTGGGTATCATAGTGGGTTTATGCTGTATATGAAAACAGAGAGATGAACAAATTAAACAGTAATATAATTCATTTTACTGTGAAAAATCTGTATCTATAGAAAAGTAAAATCAAGAGGAAAACAAATTAAAATAATTACTATTGGCTGCCAGCTAATTTTTTCCCTTCATGCCAACAATGTCCTTGATTTCTATTTAGGAGCCATGGAGACATGAGAAGGTAACTCCACAGCTGGATTGAGGGCACAAAAATCAAGGTTAACCTGATCCAACACGGGACTCTTTTCCCAGACACACTAATTGGTTTACAGGTGGGCTGCCCTGATCTAACCAGAATGCACTAGGGCATTTTTTGGGAAGGCCAAGACACAGGGGCTCTTGTTTGATGTGAAAGGGCATTACTCTAACTACTACAAACCTTTTTGCTCACATGAGGGAGTCATCATGAAGACTGGTAACTAGAAAGAGGAATAGGGAGCGCTGTAGAGAATTGCATGTCGTCTTGGTGTGAGCGAGGGCTACTCTTGCTGTCTTTCCTGAAGCCGATGATCCTTTGAACCCAGCAGACCGATTATTTTTCTGTATCTTGTTAGTTATTTTGTGACGATTTCCTAATATTTGCAACATATCTATACTAATACCATCTTTTTCTGATGCCACTTACTGACCGCTTAAGTCACATTTTCTCTTATTCATTTATATAATTAGAATATTTATTCTTATTAGTCAATTTGCCTCACTTTTTTTACCTCATTTTTTTTTACAATATTATAAACTTCCTATTGTATGGCTGTATCCTAAAAAAATTTGTTGTTTAAAAATAAACATGTCATTTAAAAATTATATTTAATATAAAGAAATATGTACTTCTTAGGATTTTTAAAGGGTACAGCAATAGAAAATAAATTTTTGAAAAAAGTGCTGGTGCCTACATAATTTTTTAAAAAGTGAGTAACAATGACCAGTTGAGTAGTAAAAAAATGAAAAGGCCACAACAATATTATTTGGTGTTATTTGCAATCATATTGGCATTGAATTTACTACCTTGTGAAAAATAAATTTATATGCACTGAAATTGAGTTGCTTAGTGTGCAGAAAACCATGTGTGAACATGGACATTAGCTATTTTCACACTAGCAGATGAAATCAATATTATAATACAGCTAATCGATTTCCAACTATGATAAAATACATTTTTAAAAAGTCCAACAATTTTAAGTCATTGACCAAAGATGTCAGACATATTTAATACAAAATATTTAAATTATTTAATTAATTATTGTTTTTGGTGGTTCTAGGGATGGACCCCAGGGACTTGCACTTTAGCCAAGCACTCTGCCCCAGAGCTACACCCCCGCTCCCCAAACAATTTTTATAAAAACAGAACCTTGTGAAGACCTTTTCCCTATCTATACAGGTGGTTATAAATTAGCATTTGGAAAGATATCTACTGAAATCCAATAGTCAGGCTGAAGAAAGCTGGAGTATAGTTTTCTAAAGATCAGTTTTGAATAGTTTTTACAGGAAAAAATGACACTTCAGGAGATTTGAAATGAATATCAGAGTAATTTGGTGGCATTGAGGAAGAAGTTTAAGTCCCTGGTCATTGTTTGAAAAATGTCATGTGAAGGCCGTAAGACGAAGAGAACTGGGTTGTGCAAAAGTTTGTCTGAGATAAAGTTAGGCAGACGTGAGTCATCCAAAGGGTTAGAAAATAAGGTTAGAAACTCTCTGATCCCATTTCCCCTTTTATTTCCTTGAGTCAGAGTTGGTTAACTTTTAACTCCCAACTTGCCTTTGGCTTCTGCAAGGTGATTCTTTATTTTACATCAGATTGACTGAGTAGAGTCGAAATTTGGATCTTACCTGTCTGAATGCTCCGACTTGAAAACCATCTATATTCAAGACTGCTAATGTCAGTCCTTAATTAGCTCCATTTCTTTCCATTTCCTTCTCATTGTTGTGATTCGGGTCCTTCCCTTTGTCTCTCAGGGATACTAGTGTCGTGGTTTTGTGACTCTTTTGCTTCCAGTTTCTGTTCAATGCCAGTATTTTCATCATGGCCTAAATATGTTTAGCACTTTCAAATGAAGTGCAGTCTTCCCACATATTTAATTGTGTAAAATGCTAGATGCATCTCAGGACAAAGCCAAAGCTCTGTAGGAAAGATTTTAAGGTTCTTGTTACTCTGTCCAGTATCTTTTCTAATCCGATCCCTGCTCATTTCTCATAATTTATCTAATGTTCTAGGTCTATGGAGAAGACTTTCTTTCAAACATGTAGTAATTGCACAGATTAATTTGAGTCACTGTGATATTTCTATATATGCATGCATCGTGTATTTGATCACAACCATCCAGCCTTCTTCCACCCGGGAGCTGGCCATTCCCCGGCCCCTAAGTAATCCCTCTTCACTCATTTCTGCCCCTGCTCCTCCCACTTACCCTTCCCAGTCTCTGTGTGTCTGTGATTTCTTTCCATGGACAAAACTTGTAAGCTTCTGGAATTCGGCAAGCAGCAACATCTCTTATTTATGTCATTTTTTCTGCTTCCAATGCTAACTTTGCCCCCCTTATTCCCACGCAAAGCTTCCCAGGCCACTGCCAGAATGCCCCTTCCTCCATGGTAGACAATTACTCCTTCCTCTCCATTTCTCAGAACACTTTGTAAACGCATCATTTCAGCAATTGGAAATGTCACCAGTGGTTTTTACATTGCTCTTCTCATTGTGGATTATAAAATTCTTTCTATCCCTGACTCCAGCCAGGTCTGAAATACCGGAGCACTTCATACTCTATTAAAGGATGTGACACTGTAGGAGGGAAATCTTTCGGAGCATCTGCAGATGAATAGAGTGACTCAGAAGCCTTCCTTAGAGAGCTCTGTGTGATGTGCCACCTCCTGAGAAAATATCTTGGCCTTGCTGAGAATGTGCATATATATATATGTATATGCGTATATACCAACTCAGATAAAGTCCTTTTGCTGGACGACCAGATTTCTTATTCTCAGTAAAGATAAATTTGATTCATAAGGACCTGTAATTTCTTGTTCATGCTGTTGTTTTTGAAAATAAAAAATTAGACTGTGCTTGTGGGAACGGTTAGTTATAAAGTGCTTACATATCCTCTGTGTTTTTTGCGTGTTGAAAAGTAAAGGGAAAGAAAACTGACAGTGGCAGTGTAGGAATTAGATTTTATGGAGCTAACATGAAACAGCGTTAGGATTGTTATGTAGAGATGTGATTTATGATTCAGCTCGCAGGCTATATAATATACTAGCATACTCCAGGAACGGGGAGTAAGAATGTCTCCATTCAGATACAATTCCTGCCCTTTAATAATTGACTCTTAAGACCTTAAATATGACACTCCACCTCTGTATGTCTCAATTTCTCAGCTGGGGGTTGTCAGAAGCGTCAAGGAAATAATCCATATCAGGCACTTGGAGTAGCATCTGGAACTTACAAAAGGCTCAATGGATGGTAGTTGTTGTTATTATTCTTTCTCAGTGAGGTATTATTGGTGGGATTATATTTATCAGTGGTAATACAAATGTCAGTTTTTATTCACATAAAATTGTTTGTTCATTTACTAGTGTTAATTCATAGTGAATTTAACCAGTGGATATTGATACACATTAAATTGTAAGTGTGACAATAAAAATCTGATTTAAGACATTTGTCTGGGATATTAACTTAAATATTTTACATTTATTAACTTAAAATTTTCACATTTCCTTGATCCAGCTCTTAGCTGAATGATCAGAATCAGAATACGTTCTTAGAAAAAACAAGACTATCATGCTGTCTTCCACATAAGCTTAAACCCTGAACCTTCTGGCCATGATGCATTTTGATTTCTAATTTTCTTGGTAAACAGAGAAAAGAATGAGCTGTTTTTACCACTAGAAGCAATGGATCCTCACGGCATACAGCAGCAGCTTTTTAATATTAAGGAAATGATAATATTTTGACATGGCGGAAAGTATAGATTAATTTGAAACAAGCTTGAGAAGATTTCCAAAGTATTGCAATATGGGGAAAACAAATATTGATTGAAATAAAGAACATGGGCTCAAGAAATTCTGCAGTGATTTGTTTAAATGCTTTACATTTGAGTGATGGAATAAATATCATGGAAGTTGACAGTCAAGATATTCTATTCAATACAGACCAATTGATTGTAACCTTTCTGTGTACAATTTATATGTGAAATATGATACTGTTTTTATTAATTATTAATTGCTAATTGTACTCATTGTATTAATCATGAATCACATTCAAAAAATAAAGTGTTAAAATCTCCTTGAGGGGCTGGGATTTAGCTCAGCGGCATAAGCGCCTGCCTTGGAAGCAGGCAGTCGTGAGTTCGATCCCCGGTACCAATAAAAAGACAAAAAAAAAGAATCTCCTTGAATAGTTACAAAACTCACACATATCATGCCATTATAAAGGTGTGGAATAAATCTATTGTAGGTGAATTTACTGAAGTTCATGAGATTTAGGAGACTTCCTTCATATCAAATAGAGTTTATCAATGGTCAGCGATAATCTCTTTGTGTAGTTATGAAATTAGTCACACATACAATTCCGGTGTAATTCACATTAATGTCAATTCCTACTAGAGATGTTGAATTTTCAGAACTTTGATGTGAATGGCAGGGCTTGACAAAAAATAGAGTGCAAATCACATTTTTTGGGTAATAAACCCATTTCAGTGGCGCTTACTGTTTCCTTTTCTTTGGTAAGTTAGAGAATTTCTCATTCCGAGCCAAGGAAGGTAAACTAAAGGTATATTTATCTCACAACCAATTCTAAATTGTGCAAACAGAGGAGGAATAAGAGTACAGAATTAATTAAAACCTTCAGGGGATCTTTACATCTCAATCTACTTCAGTTTATTCTTCTTTTAAATTCTTTGCAGAAGTACAAGGATAAAATGAAGAGATTGATGTATATATCACCATGACCTTTCTCTTTTAGATACTGATGAAGATAATAAGCAGTAAACAAGAGAAAGAGTAGGCAGAAGGAGGGAAAAAAAAAAAAGAGCTCAAGATGATCCGGAGCATGGTAAGCTTGGTGTAATCATGAGTTGACAGCTTTGGGATAATCTCCTTCCAATTAGATAAGGGCAATGTATTCAGATTATATTTTGAAAAACACTAAACACCCTCCCAAACCCACAGAATACACAATCTCTTACCCTTATCAAGCTGCCTAATTGTCTTACTCTGAATCATTTCACTAGTAAAGGAGTATTTATTGCCTTTTGGCAAGAAGGCATAAAAGATGAGAACATATGTTTTGGTTCTTATATAAAACACAGATAAAAGTTTGTTAGTTCATTGGTACCTACAACACACTATCTTGTCTAGATTGGCTTATATTTAGAAGTCAGCAAGGGATGCAAATTGGGAAAAAATAGGAAAAATGGCTACTCTCAAATGAACTAAGCATTTCCCTTCAGAAGTCTGTATTCGAAGCTGAGTTAGTTGGAAGTCAGAGTTGGAGATTCTAAAATAAAGAGAAAGATAAGACTAAAACTGTGCTCTTCCACTTGACCCAGTTACTCCTTTTCTAGGTGTCTTCCTGAAAGGGTTGAAGACATTGTATTACAATGACACATACATACCCAAGTTTATTAGCAGTACAGTTCACAATAATTAAATCTTGTGAGCAGGCTATATATCTAACAACAGATGAATGGATAAAGAGAGTGTGTTATTAATGGAGTACTCCTTTGACATAAAGCAGGATAAACTTGAGTCATTTGCAAGAAAATGGATGTACCTTAATACCATCATGCTAAATGAAATAAGTCAGTCACGCAAGCTTAACGACCATATGGTGTCTCTACAAACCCAAACCATGAATAAAGACCAAAATAAAAGATAGATAATAGGAATTACAGAAATAGATTTTATTCAAAGAGGAAAGGAATCAAGAGAAGGAGGGAGAGAGATGGAAAGGGAGGGCAAATGTATAAAAAGAATTAAGGTATAATTAAGGTATAAGAACATGTACCAACTTCCTACAAGGAGTGTAATTATTATATATTATAATATAAACATGTGCTCATAATAGGTGGAAACTAAATTATAGAGCTCAGTTTTTAATATTTCTTTTTTCTCCTCATATTCTTTTCAACTTAATTTATGAGGACCACATTTTTGTAACACATTTGTATAATATGCATATTATGAAATACTGCGTGAGTAAGGGCAGAGTGTTGCATAAGGGTGGCATTTGTTGTGGTATGCATTATATACTGCATATTGTTATTCCTAAAATATTTATGTACTGAAACTCTGATCTCTGGACATGTGGGAGGCACGAGGTTTAAATGAGGTTGTGAAAACAGGGCTATTATGATGGTTGCTTTTCTTATTTTTATAAGAAGAGAAAGAAACTAGACTCCTCTCCCTGTTCCATGTTGTCTGCAAACCAAGGAAAGGGATCTGCTGGGCTTCTTAGCCCCAGAACTGTGAGAAATAAATGACTGTTGTTTAAGCAACCATTCTAAAGTGTGCTGTTATGATCCCGTGAACTAACTAACATATTAGATGTGAATGTGAATAATTGTTGATAGTGTTTGTGGTTATTGTTGGGTATGTGAGTGAATAGTAGCTAATAGTGTACGTGTATGAGTGCATGTGTGTGTGAGTGTGTGTGTGTGTGTGTGTGTGTGTGTGTGTGTGTGTATGGGGAGTGAAGAAGGCTGGTTGTTATTGATGTGCGTGTGTGTGTGGTTACTGGAAAACATAGGTTTAACTTTTGTCCATGCAGTCACTGAATTAATATCTGGCCATTAGAATGTAATAAATCTTTGGCACCTTTAGCATATGAGGAGGCTTAGATCAATGCACAATGCTGACCATTTGCTTTAAAGCCTTTACAGCTAATACCTGTTTCAATGAAATTACACAGGTAGTCCTGAGCCTCCCACCAAAGAGGCCAACCTGCTAGTTGGAGAGTGTTCCGTTGCCCCACCACCAAGAAAATCTTTCCAGAGTGCTTAAGGAGGCAAAATAAATAAATGAGAGTAAAGAATGAGGCAAAGCAAGGAGGGCCAGGAATAGCTGACCAGGGAGAGGCAGAGAAAAAGAGACAGCATTTGTTGCCAAGCTGTGCCACTCTGACTTCCTCAGCACAATCTTGGCTTTTTCTCTATGGAGATTTTCCTTGACCAAGTGAGGAAGTCTAGGTTCCTAGGGCTAACAGAATATCTCTGGAGGTTGCTTCTCTGATTACTTGTAGCTTTTTAAAATTGCTTGAGGATTAATGTGGTGTTGGGTGCATCACAAATCAGCAAAGGACGACAGTTCTACGAACTTTATCTGAAACAAAATTAATCTTGACTAAAACTCTATGATTCATAGTAAACTACAATATCACCTTTTGGGCACATAATAATCTTCCTTCTTTAGTGTGCATGAATTTTAAAATGAGCAAGAGGAAAAGAAGGCTATCCTCACTATCTGTCATCTGGTTTATATACAAGGTGACTCTACTCCAGTAATTGCAGTCGCTGGAGAAGAATTATTGCTTCCTTGATTTTGTGACTCTGTTTTATCCTCTGAAGGTGTGTCCAAAAATCAATGTCAGCTGGCTTTAGCGGAAATGTTCCTAGCTGGCCTGCCACTGCCAAGTCTCACAGGGACGTCTGATCGATGGCTCTGCATCCGTGATAGAAACCGCTTGGTTCTGAGCAGACATCTCCGAGACTCCTAAATTCAAACGCTTACAGAGGCTAGACTGGTATTTTAAGTAAGCAGAACGATTTAGTATGTGGCAATGGCGCATATGAGGAGGGGCTGTGCGAGACTGGGCACCACCTCTTGGACGGAGGCAGCAGCTACTGTTCCCAGTCAGTTGTATAAGGTGACGATGGCCCTGAGATGCAGAAATGTTCAATTTTTCTAAAGAGAGCTTCTCTGTGTCTAAGAAACAGACTAATTTGGAGTCATGTATAGTAAACTCATAAATGGTTTACCCTAAGGAAAATGATTAGGGAACTTGCCGTTTTTTAACCGTTCATGAAAGCACGCATTGGTTTCCTAAGGCTGTCATGATAAAATGCCATAGACCAAGTGGCTTAAAGAACAGAAATTACTTTCTTCAGAGTTTTGGAGTTCAATTTCAGCGTTTTGGCAAGCTTGCTGCCTTCTGAGAGCTCTCTCCTTGACTAGTAGGAGACCCATTTCTTGCTGTATCTTCACGTGGCCTATCTAGCACATACCTAGAGTCCCAATGCCTGGCTAAACATCCTCTTCTCTTAGAATGATATGCAAGACTGGCTTAAGGTCCACTCTAGTGGTATCATTTTCATTTAATTTCCTCCTTAAAGACTTTGTATCCATGTCTGTCACATTCGGAGGCAGTGGGGGTTAGGGTTGTAAATATGGTGGGGGTGACCTGAAAAGTCTGTTTTAAAGTCTTGATCCTCAGAGAGGCAATGAGAGGTGGTAGAACCTTGGAGGAGTGGTGCCTACTGGAAGCTCCTTGGGTTACTGCAGAAGCTGCCTCCTAAAGGAGATAAGATAAGCTTTGTGCTCTCCCCATTGCAGCCCAACATAGGTTATATAGAGAGCAGCCCTTGCCAGAGCCTGTGCCATGTTATTCAGCCGTGCAGCCCCAAAGCCATAAGTAAAATCCTTTTCTTTATAATCAAATGTCTTGGTTATTTTGTTATAATACTAAAATATTAGCTAATATAGGGTTTCAACATATGGATTTTGAAGAGGAACACAATTCAGTCCGTAGCTGGGTGGCACCCCCCAGGTTGGCTTCTTTGGAGATAGGAAGCTGGGGCATCGGCTCTCTGTTCTATTAATTCAGACCAGTAGACAAGTATGCATTACAAACAGAGTGAACAACTCCAGCATCACGTATGTAGTGACTTAATTAATGCCTTAAGCTTATCACTAGACAAGAATTCCCTACAGAATCTTGTGATTAATACGGATCATAAAGGCCTGCTACAGCGAGTGTGGGAATACTTGACTCCTGCAAGAGAATCAGATTTTTCATCATCAGGCTCTGTGTTCTACTGCGGGGATAACATCATCTTTAAATAGTTAGTAATTGGTGCTTCAGAGCATTGCAGCATTTGTCACCACACACAACTCCTGTTCTCTAAGACAAAGCATCTGGTATGTGCTCTCCAACTGTGTGCAGCCACAGGCTTAGAAGTCAGCAGTGGCTCAACCTTTCTGATAAATTCTTGATGATAACAACTCTACGGACTGATTTTTCCAGTAAGGCAAGATGAGTTTACTCCTTGGGGTAAACAGTCAGGTAAAAACACAGTAGAAACTGCAAATCTTAAGTGCTTGAATTCTTCACTTAAAACAATGCATATGCTTTTTGTTGTGTAGAATGAAAACTAACCATGTTGATTCAGTAACAAAAATTTGACATAAACTTCTTACACACTTCTGTACCAAAAGCAGAAACAATTTGATTTAAAAGTGGGCAAAAGACCTGAAAAGGTTTTTTCTACTGAAGAAATTTAAATGCCTAAAGGATATATGGAAAGATTTCAGGATTATTAGATATCAGAGAGATAAAAATCAAAACACCAGTGACATATCAAATCACATCTGCTAGGATGGCCATCGTAAAGATGATGAAAGATTGAAAAGTGCTCATGAGGGCGTGAAGAAAAGGACATCTCTGCACATTTTTTCTAGGAATGCGAATCCACCAATAATTCAGCCATTATGTAAAACAGCAGGCATGGAGAGGCTGAATTATTACCTGTAAATCCCACTTGCGGAAAATGAAATTAAGATCCAAAGAGATACCTCTACTCCTATGCTCATCGCAGCATTATTGACAATGACTAAGACATAAAAACAAACTGTCAACATCATGCATGAGGTAAAAGTGAGAATATTTGTAATATTGACACATGCAGTCATAAAAAAGAGAGCAATCCTGCTGTTTTAGGACACCACTGATGAACCTGGAGGACATTATGTTAAATGAAATAACACAGACACAGATAGATTCTAAAAAACTCAAACTCATAGAAACAGAGGGAAGGGCAATGTTTACCAGGAAAATGGGAAATGGTGGCCAGAGTATATGAGTTCTAATTATAAGACCAGCTAGTTCTGAGGACCACAAGGAACTCACGGGAGGTGTTGGATATGTAAATTAATTTGATTATGGCATTCATTGAAAAATATATACATGTAATAAGATCACCACCTTGTATATCTTGAACATGTACAATGTTTGTCATTGAAACACTTTTTTTTTCATCGTTTTTTTGAGACGGGGTCTAGCTACGCAGTTCAGGCTGGCCTTGAGCTCACTTTGTAGCCCAGGCTGGTCTCAAACTCTCAGTGATCCTCTTGCCTCAGCCTCTCGAGTGCTGGGATTACAGATGTGTGCTACCATGCCTGGCTTCAACACTTTAAAATAGAATTTGACAGTGGATATTCTCACCTTAAGTTTCATTGATTCACTTAAGTTTCTACATAAATCACTGTTACAAGTGCTGACATATTTTTTTCAATTCCATGTTGTAAAACAACAAAATATGGCTTTATACCTAGAATTTCAGAATGCATGATGCCTCAGTCTGTTTTCTGCTCTATAACAGAATACCCCAAGAATAAGTGTTGTCTTTTGGTTGAAAATGTCCATCAAAAGCCTTATCTGTTTGGAAGGTGGTTGGATCCTGGTGACAATATGCTCATCAGTGGATTCATCTATTTTTGAACTCAGTAGTTCATGTACTATTAGGAGAAAAGGCCTGGTTGGAGACTTGAATCATTGGAACATTCCCGGGATGGGTGAATTCTTGTCCCTGGTTCCTCCCTTTTCTCACATAAGGTGAGCAGGCTTCTTTGTCATGCCCTTCCGTCGTGCCTTGGAGCCAGACAATCATGGATCGAATCCTCTGGAAACCATGAACACTGCAGTATAAATCTCTTCACTTTTAAGTTGTGAGTGTTGGCTATTTTGGCATAGTGAGGGGCAAATGATTACTACACTAGATAACTTATGAAGAACAGAGACGTATTTCTTACAGTTCTGGAGGCTGGGGAGTCCCAAGTTGAGAGAGCCACATCTAGTATCTCCTGGCAGATGAAAGAGCAAGAAAGAGCAAACAAAAGTAGGTTTATTATAACAGTAGGGTTATTATCATAAGAATGCACTTATGATAATAAAGCCACTCTTACCACAAAGACATTAATTCCTTCACAGAAACAGAGCCCTTATAATTTAGTTACCTCTCAAAGATCCTACCTTTTAATACTGTTGCACTGGGGGTTAAGTATCTAACTTTGGGATAAATTTTTTAGTAACAGGCCTTTTAGAAAATTCGTAATTAATGAGAATATTTGACTTAAACTATCATAGGCAGGTTTCTAACTTAAGAATTTGAATTTAGGTCTAAAAGTGCTATAATTCATTCTTATGGAGTGGGAAGGAACAGAAAAATCGGGTTGGGGTGGGGGTCATCATATCGGGGCATGTGTATCCCAAGGTAGAGAAAGCCTGTCAACACAGAAGAAGAGAAATAGACAAATCATAAGAAGTAGTTATGAGATCCTCTTCACTGCTAGGGCAGTGGCGTGTGTAAATCACAGTTCCTAAGTCACACTTCCTTGTTTCCGTCTCTCGGGAGGCCCAAGTGTAATATTTGTTGTTTTGATTGTGAAATATCGATGTGACTTTCTGGTAAATACTATTATTTACTTAATAGAAGTTAAAAGATGCAGTTTATTAAAATCAAAATACATCCAGACCAAGAAAAGTCTTGATTATGACCCAGTTTTGAATACTATCTCAAACATTTTTTTTCTCTCTAGGACACTGTTTCTGTAGCCAGTTGAAGGTTTTCTTATCAGTTCATTCTCTTTCCTAGTTTTGAAGAAGCAAATATGGTTATATTTATCTCCTGGTTAATATTGTTTCTGACTAGATTGTCTTCAGTTCAAAAGTTTTATTTCTGAAATAGGAGAGCACAGAATGCTAATTTTGATGATATAGTTCTGGCTTACATACTGTTGGCCTACATTTGGCCCTCAGTCAATAGCTGTGGATTGATTTTAACTCCTTTTCCAAGTCTTTGGTGTGGAACAAAGCCTTGTATTGTGGGGTAATACACTCTGTCCCAGCTTCTCAGTAACTACTGAAAAATGCACAGAATGACTACGTTAGAATTAATGCAATTTAGCTACTAACCAGTTGAATACCACACTGTCACTACATTTCGAATTTCTCTGTCTCTCTGTCTCTGTTTCTCTCTCTCCTTGTCTTTCTGCTCTCTCTCTCTCTCTCTCTCTCTCTCTCTTCCTCTGTCTTTACCTCTCTCCTCTTCTCTTTCTCTCCTTTCTCTCCTCATCTTCTATGCAGGAGTGCCAAGTAGTTCAGTCCAGGAAAATTTAGAGCCAGATGAAAATTCGTTTTCTTGGTGAAGATGTGAGATATTCTGTTTAATTAAAAATATAGTTTGGATGTCTGTGGCTCCACTTAGTTAAGCTTCTAAAATTACCCAGTGCAAATAGTCAATTGGATAAACAGCCCAATCTAAAGTAGACTGGCTATTGCTGGCAGGTATAATGCCTTTTTTTTTTTACACTAGGAATACAGTCAGATGCACTTGTCCTATGGGAGTGCTGTTATTTGTAGAAGCCGTTGCCAGGTAATCATGGGGCATCCTCAGGGCTGCATGGCTGTTACATGTGATTTAGGTCCCTTAAATCAGAGCTTTCAGAATGTCTGTACTTGTCCTTTTTTTTTATTTTTTAACAAAGGAAATACATTATCCTGGTATTTGTAGAACTAGAGAAGACTTCTGTACTACAAGGTGAACATGTTTCATGCTGATGAACTGTATACTTAAAATATTTAAGATGGCAAATTTTACCTAACACAGATTTTGCTGCAATTAAGAAACATT